GGGGGTGGGTGGGGGGGTGGGGGGGGTGGATAGGTGCACTGAGGAAATCTGCCTTCATTTGTTTGGGAACACAATATGCCAGATTAAAATATTATAGTTGACCTTGGAATTCCATAGCCTCACATATATCCATCTGGATTTTCAGAGGCCCAAGCTTGCAATCTAGTTGTTGGATGATAGGGATGAGGCCCATCTGCCCCATTGACCATATCATTGTGTTTATTTTACTGCTATAGGGGGGTGGGGGGGGTGGATAGGTGCACTGAGGAAATCTGCCTTCATTTGTTTGGGAACACAATATGCCAGATTCAAACATCATAGTTGACCTTGGAATTCCATAGCCTCACATATATCCATCTGGATTTTCAGAGGCCCAAGCTTGCAATCTAGTTGTTGGATGATAGGGATGAGGCCCATCTGCCCCATTGACCATATCATTGTGTTTATTGTTTACTGCTATCCTTCACTTGATAGAATATAAGGCACATAAGGGGAGGGATCCTTGATTATAGTGCTCACGGTTACATTCAAAAGCCTTACGCAGTATTGCACAGAAGACTTAATAAGTATTAATGGAACATGAAACTTAATCTTATGTTAAAGCTTCACCCTACTTGTGTTAATAGGTACCACAACACTTTCACCTGGAGCCAGCAGCAGTTCACAGAAAACCAAGCCAGGTAGTGTCACTAAGTAAATTCACCATAGGAGAGTATTACAGTCACAAAGTTCTACTTTAAACATTGGAATGTAAAAAATGCTCAGGTAATTGATAACTAACTTTTACAAAGATGAAAACACCATGTGCCCCTTTTCCCCTTGTAGGTACTTCTGTCGCACCAGGGAGTCCTGGGACTGGAACTGAAACAGGTGAGGGTGACATAAGGACTCCTTTCACTTTCCTGGGACCGATGAGAAAGAGAACTCCAGTAGCAACATTGTTATATAGGTGGTCAGGCGATGAAATTGTGGAAAGTCATTGACAGTTCATGTCCTTCTGAAACAGAAATCCTAAGGAGAGGTCTTCTGGTCATTCAAGGACACACAGCTGCTTCAGTACTGGAGAGGGAGCCAATGCTGTGTTGATGGCTTCATCTTTCTCATTTTTAGGTGCTACACAGGAATTCACTATGGCAAGCATTATATCTGTGTGTTCCCACACAGATAGGTTCACAAGAAGAAATCTCCATATTTAAACCCAATAGCATTATGTCTCCACTGATAAAATATCAACATAATTCTCTCATATCACAATACCTCATTCCTCACCCTTCACGATTTTCTTCCTTCAGGGGCTACAACATCAACAGAAGGCAGTGGCACATCTGAAAGTAGATTCAGAACTGGTGAGGAAGAGTTTCCGCAGTTGGGGGTTTACCATTAATGATGGCTCTTCTTAGCCTGGCCACTGGGAGGGGTGCTTTCCTGCAGAATGGTTCTCATTTGCTTCCAGTTCTTAGAATTAACATATTTTGGAAAACTCTCAATATTGGCTTCTAGTCTTACAAGAATAACTTTATAAAGAAAGGCTGGGGGTGAAATCAGTATGAGAAATTTAACTTGTGATGGCACAGACAGCACTAGGATGTCAGTGTGAGATGAGAAATATTATGTATCTGAGGAAAGGGAAAAGCAGTGTGAACTCTTAAACAGGCATGTCCTATGCAAAGAGTTCTTGCTCAAAATGCCAATAATACTATCAATATTTTTCTTGGACATTGAAATATTTTCCTGTTTATTTTTGAATGGTAGGCACCACTGTGAGGATGAGACATCAACCCCTATTTAAGAGAAAGGTCCCCCTTTAACCATATTTGAATGAATGGAATTTCTGGGACAGTTTCTCATGCTGAGAACATTACTGTTTTTATTGCTTTCTTACTGATATTGGTCATAGCAAAACCAGATTCTCGCCTCATCAGGAAGTAGAGACAGGATTTTCTCATGCCCTCTCACAGCTTAGATGTCTGCACTGATATTATTCATTGCGGGACTAACACCATGTCTTTTCAATGATTCTGAAATATTCTTTCATTGCCTCTTTTCTACCCTATTTCCCCCAGTGGCCATAATACTAGTGGCACAACTAGAATTTGAACAGACACAGGGGTGTGCTGCTAAGCTTACACCTACATTTCATAACAACTTCTAAAAGTAGTCTCCCCAAAATTTTCTACACTATTTATATATGTTATGTTGGGAAAGTTCAGATTTTAAAAAGATCAACTAGACATTACATTGCCGCCTTATTGCCTGAGCTTGCAAGGGCCTTCAGTAGACAACCATGAGTCTAATCAATGACAAATAAATAGGTAGTATATAGAGAGATATTTCTATGTTCCCTCCATAAAAAGAGACAGAATAGTTGAGAACTCAGAAAAATGGTTATAGAAAAAAATGTTACCTGGGCACAAATGGATGAATTCTTATCACGAAGTCACAGAGATATAGTTTGCTATTACATGAAGATGGAGATTTTTCTTTAAATGTTATGGTGAAAAAAATAATTGAGCTAGAACCACCACCATTTTCTTCTTGTAAGTAATACAAAAAGTCTCTGGAAGACCTCTGGAACCACGAAGATATGTCACAGGAAAATCTCAAAATACACTAAAAACTTGACATTGGCAGCTTGTATGACCTATTCTGACAATAGCCAAGTGTGTACTTTTCCACCACCTACTCTT